GTGACCTGATGATTGTAAGAAGTTAACCGGTTTCTTTGTTTAAACTGTCACGGAGATCCTGTGAAGAAAACGTATATAAGCTGTGTAAAATCTGTAATCAGGACTCCCTCCTTTTGCTGGGAGTCTCCAACTTATTTAGAGCTCTGAAATAAAGTGGATAAAAAAATCTGATTTTTGTCTTGGTGTTCTGTTCACCTCGCACCAAGTCCCGAACCTGGTAATTAGGGTCGATTGGCTGGACCCAACAATACAACTAGTGGTTTGCCTTAGGCTGCAAGAAACAGAAGACACAAACATTTAACTTTCTTGTAGCCCTCTTGTGCTATACGAGCTCTAGTTTGGTGTAGTGGTTAAAGGCACCAGGCTGGAAACCAGGAGACTGTGAGTTCTAGTCCTGCCTTAGGCATGAAACCAGCTGGGTGATTTTGGGCCAGTCCCTCTCTCTCAGCCCTAGGAAGGAGAAGGCAATGGCAAACCACTTCTGAAAAAACGATGCCAAGAAAACTGCAGGGACGTCTCCGGGTAGTCGCCAGGAGTCAAAACAGTGAGAATTAATCATTATCTGTGTGGGCAAGCCCTTTGCCGATGCATGCTGGCTGAGGAATTCTGGAAGTTGAAGCCCTCACATCTTCAGCTTGCCAAGGTTGAGAAACACTGCTCTAATATGTGCAGTTAGGATGTTCTGCACCAATGAGCACCCCTTTCCACTTATTTAAACCTAACAGCTTTTGCTATTCTGTTGACCGTTCACTGGGTTTAAAGAGATCTTTCTGGGGTTGTTCAGAATCACTTTTGGTTTCTAATTCCCTGAAGAGATTGGCATTATCCAGAAACTTGACATGTGCAGTGCTTCCTGCAAGTCAGAATAATTTATGAGCAAATTTAAAAGCAGCAGCCCCTTAGGGATCTCCACTTCTAATTTCCTTCCCCCAGAAACACAACACCCCCCTTTCAGTCCTATTCCTTGCTTTCTGTTTTAACCACATAAAAGGTCTCGTTATCCTGTGACTGCTAAGAGACTTTGATAAGGAATGTTCTCAAGAGCTTGTTGAAAATCCCATTTCACAGAGTCATCAGGGTTACCTCTATCCATAGGCCTATTGATTTCGTAAAACAAACATTTCTAGAAGGTGGATCTGGGTGCTAATTAGACACAGTTAAAATTCCAAGTTCGCTCCTAACCCCAAAATGTTGTGGATCTCTGGCTGAAGGCAAGAGAAGAATACCAAATGGAAGCATTGTTTTTCCTACCTGTACTTAACTTCTTCTTGTGTCAGTTTGAGATTCTGTGTTCCTCAAAGAAGATGCAGTCTTAACCCAGAGATATAGAGGATAAGATTTCTTTCGGTATCTTAAACAGCTGTGTGCAGACAGAGTTTCAGACCCGCAATTTCTCCTCCTGAGATGAAAAGAGAAATAGTTAAGTCTCTCCATCGTTGGTCACAGGGATTTCTCAGTGATGGATGAAATAGGAACTGTACTTACCAAGTTGAAGTAAATGGACTCAGTTGCCTTCTAGTCAGTCTTGACTCCTGGCAACTGCCTTGATGAGTCCCTGCAGTTTTCTTGGCAAGAATTTCAGAAGTGGTTTGCCCTGGCCTCCTTCTTCCTGGGGCAGAGAGAGAGCGACTGGCCCAAGGTCACCCAGCTGGCTTCGAGCTAGGACAGGACTAGAACCCACGGTCTCCCAGTTTCTAGCCTGGTGCCTTCACCGTTATACAAAACCAGTGGTCTCCTAAACCGACACAGAGGACTGTTTTAATGATAACCCCTTGCTTTTTAGAAAACAAAATCAGTTTGGCTAAAGCTATAAAGAAAATAAAAACAAATGAAATCCAATCCGACGCCCGAAGATTTTCTGCTTATCTTACAAGCCTGAAAAAAAATCAGAGAAGGACATCAAAACGGCAACTTACTTTGCTGGAGTGCGAGCAAATGAAAAAAGCAATCATTTGGTTTCTGTTTCTGTATTGTGTAGTAGGAATATAAAAACCCAGCTCTCAGCGCCCTCTTCTGCCTTTAAAGTTAATAAGAGACGGAGCTTCTTAGTAGAACAGCAAGAGCCGCTGCACTGAGCAAAGGCCTCTCTCAAAGACGCTTTGCAAAGCCACCCGGCCGCCTCATTTCTTAAAGCAAAGCAACCAGGGGGCTTCACTTCCCCCTCCTTCGCAGCCCTCGCAGCTTCTCCAGCATCACCTGCCCAAAGCTTGGGCAACTGCTGGAGAAAACCTCTCTGCCTTTTATGGCATGCCTCTCCCAGCTTTGAGAGTTGGGACAATAAAATCAGGAGCCCTCCGTCGTGAACTAACATGCTATTCACCAGCCTTTGAAGCAGTGGAAAACTATACAGAAGGTCCCCTACATACGAACTTTCAAGCTGCGAACTTTGGCCGATACAAACAAGATGGAGCCTTAAGCTGGAACCAGAAGTTGGGCCGGAAGTCGGGAGAAAGGGCTCTGCAAACTAACCCTTCCCCACCATCTCCTGACTTCTGGTTCAAACTTCCGGTCCTGACTTCTCGCATGGTTGGTTGGCTGCAAATTGCGGGCTGCAAATGTCTGCAATTAAGCGCAAGAGTCCTGAAGGGGAGGGGGGTCGCGTGAAGAAGTGGCCATCCGTTACGATGCTCATGAAGATGGAGCTATTGAAGAAAACAGAGTTCCAGACCAAACTGATGGCAGAGGGGTTCAGCTGAATTGAGAAAGCACTGTCATGGCTTGGGATGCAGGACCCTAACATGGAGCGCTTCATCAAGGGGTCTGCAGCTGTCCATGATGCAATCCAGTGCTACAGCGTCATTTATGAGGAGAAGAGGAAGACCGCCGCCCAAAGTTCACCGGACCACTTCTTCAGGAAGGTGGAAAAAAGTACAGAGGACGAGCCTACGCCATTGCCGCAAGTGCCTATGTCAACACTGCTGCTTATGTAAGGTGGGAGCTGCACTTTTTTTTGCTCGTTGGACTTACGAACAAAACAGACTTACGAACAGCGTCTCAGAATGCAACCTGTTCGTAAGTAGAGGACTGTCTGTGCCGGGATAAAAAGTCCACTGGAATTGGGCAGCCAGTAAATTTAAATAAAGAAACAAACGAATGAACAAATCAAACTTGCTGCC